ACTTGCATTGTATTTTCCAATGAATGTAAACCCCTGTTCTGTAAAATGTTACATCTTGCCAGAAGGACTGCCAATCAATGAGACCACAGATACAGATTGGATGCCACTGACTCACTCCTGGATGATTTTGTACATCCTTTACTTCAGACTGAGGGTTTGCCAGAATAAGGATTACAGTTTTCTCTTTTGTTGTGTTACCAGGAGATAAATGACCGAAGCACCCAGATAAATTTAATTCCGTTTCTGTTGTTTTAGATCTCTCTATCAAACATAATGCTTTAACTAGCAAAGAGCTAGGGGAGCTTACAGAAGATTTCCAGTCTCATGTTCAAAACGAAATTTTTTAGCTTCCTCAGTGGAACTGTGTCACAGGCCTTGACATCCATTTAAGGAATACTGTACGTTGCTAATGATTTAGAAGCCTCCAGTGTATGCATCTGGAATATTATGATAGATATATTGTTTCTGTGGGTTTTGTTTACAACTTTGTACATTTTTCCTACCGTGTGATGCCTTCAGCCTTGTTTAGGAAAACGTCTGTAACAAATTTATGAAAGAGAGATAGCTTTTACAATTGAAACACTGAAATGTCTGGTGGTGACTTAAAAGCCCACAAATTGTATTTGACGTAAGCTGTTGTAGATTGGGCTCAAAAGGACACAAAAAAAGTGTGAGCGATACACACATCTGTCTCCTAATGCTTCTGTTTTAGGGAACACCTGGTGCCCCCATTAGCAGATCAGGTGACACTGTGACCCTTCAAGCATGTGGTGTTGGCTTTAAACGCTTAAATGGCATTTTGAGATGGTGTGCATTGCAGACCAGGATAACAGCAGCTGAATACTGAGCTGGAAGCTTTGTGCACTCAGATGTAAAACAGCCCTCTAACACAACTTAACAACTTGCATTATACTTATTAGACTGTAGATACCAGATTTCTCATGAGAAACAACCATCTTGACCCAACGCTTGTAGTGGAGACCCAGGTAGTGTCAGTGGTCCGTACCACCTATTTCCATCTTCAGTGGATTGCTCACCTGCGTCCCGATCTTGATGTGGTGGCCCTCACCACTCTTTTCCATGCACTCGTAGTCTTGAGATTAGACTACTGTAATGCACTGTATGTGGGGCTACCTTTGAGATTGATGCGGAAGCTTCAAATGGTGCAGAACGCGGCAGCCAGGCTTCTTACTGGGGTGAGAAAACATCAACATATCTCCCCTACTCTGGCTGCCCTGCATTGACTGCCCGTTCGTTTCCTCATTGATTTCAAAGTACTAATGATGACATATAAAGCCCTAAATGGTTTAGGACCTCAATATCTGGCGGCACGCCTCCTCCCATCTAGGTCTACCCGAATCACTCACTCTAGCCAGGAGAGGCAGCGGAGGGGCCTAACGCCGAGGGAGGCCCAAAGAGAAAGAACAAGAAAGTGGGCCTTCTCGGCAGTGGCCCCTCTGGAACAATCTCCCCCCAGAAATTTGTCTGTTTCCCTCGCTGGGTGTTTTTAAGAGCCAACTCAAGACCTGGGTGTTTAGGCAGAGGCCTTCCCTCCTGTCAATACCTAATTTCTTTGTTATTTTCAATTGTATTAATGTTGTTGTTTTATTTTATTATTCTTTTGTGTTAGCTGCATAGACTTCAGTCTAGATAGGCGGGATATAAATAAATGAATGAATGAATGAATGAATGAATGAATGAATGAATGAATGAATGAATGAATAAATAAATAAATAAATACATAAATACATAA